ACCACTAAGAGACTTCCTGTATGTTCGATATGGGGTAGTATAAGTTCCCGTTGACTAGCTATAGCTAGAAAATAGCGAAACAGAACTGGTTACTGGTTTCCAATAGGGAGTCTTACAATATCTCCATTCACAGAGCACAAAGCGATGAAAAGACTAACTTTATATTATTACAAAACATAAGCAAAGGTTCGTAAGGGAAGTCGGTTTACTTTAGAACTGATAAGGTCGTAAGAAGAAACTAGTTTTCTCAATAAACTGCATGTTTTTGTGTGCATAAAGGACTAAGGATTTTAGCTTATACCTAGATCTATTACTTCAAGATGAAATTTTCTAAATCCTTTAATGTCAAAGCAATCAATATGTCTAAAAAGGGAAGTGGCGGTTGGTTAAAGATAAATGCTTGAGACAAAGCGGAAGTGACGTTACTAAGTAGATTTYTTACTTTTTGTATTCTTACCTCATCGCTTGTATCGTGCGAAGGATTTTGCTCTGTCAGTGGAGAGCGTGATTTGATAGACTGACTCGGCTTCGGCTCGCTACACGACAAGTTCGACACATGACTTGATGATTTAGGTCTCTTGTCATTGGTGAGTCTGCTTGCTTGGTTCATGTCTTTACGAGCCGAGTTAATCAATGCAGCCGTTGCTAGAGTATGACGCCTGCTGCGCATGGGTGTTTTGGGAAGCTCCGCTGTGCGTCTTGCTCGTGAGCAGGACGATGGTGGAATTGGTGTTTTCGCTGGAAACAAAGATGAAAAAAATAGCACTTAGGAAGACTACTATAAATTCTTTGATATTCATTTCTGAAAGTACCATTATTAACCATGATCACTGGAGCTTTCAAGAAAGCATTCAGCTTCCAAATACAAGGTTTGTAATTTTGATAACAATTTTGCTGTATTTCCGTGGTATTTTCATTTTGTAATTCTCTTGTTTGTAATAACATTGTATTTACTTACTAATCCCATTTCCTGAGCTCAAAGGCGGAGTAATGAACTTGGACTGATTCCCTCTCGGACTCTGATAACCGGATTTAGTTCCTGGAGTCTGGAGACAATTTAATAACAACATGAATCAATATTTGTTCAAATCCGTGCTTTCCGACAAGTCCCGGGAGTATAGATCATGAGGGAAGGCAGTTTCGATGCATAACAATAATCAAAGGGAATCGACGCCATATTGTACAATAAAGCATGATGGTAGTTAAGTCMTCGCCGTTGTCCTAGCCCTCTAAAAAAATCTTAAACTAAAAGCCATTTTTGTGTTTTCTTTGTAAAAAAGGACACAACTATTTCTATTTTTTGCAAAAGAAAAACAAAAGCGGAAAATTTGTAGGAATGTGAACAATGCAAACATTGATATGAATAGTCTCATTTGTCAAATTCAAAAGAATAATTAACTTGCTATCGAGGCCTAAGTGCAACTGAAAAGGTGTATTCCTACCATTGCTGTTTCTTGTTGACTTCGCTTCTTTTGCTCCTGAAGTTCTTTCTGTTCTTCTTCAAATTTACGCAAATCAAACTCAATCTCATTAGCCAGCTGATTGTCAGCGGACAGAACCTCTGTGGAGGGTAACAAGGAGGAAGGCAAAAAATCAATAGTTAAACAGTGGAGCCCCTATTTAACGGTCAACCTCCATTTAGCGGTCACTCATGAATTACCCAATCGTCGATTCTCATATATTCTTACTGTAAATATGACCTCTTTTAAACGGCCAACCTCTATTAGGCGGTCACCCTCCATTAAGCGACCACTCATGAATTTTCAAAGAGTCGATTCTCATATATATTTACTGTAAACATGACCTCTATTAATCGGTCAACTTCTATTAAAAGCGGTCATCTATAAGTTCCCAAAAAAGTCATTCTGATATATTTACCGTAAACATGACCTCTTTTAAACGGTCAACCTATATTAAGCGGCCATCCGGTCTGATTCCCCAAGTTGACCGCTTAATAGAGACTGTAGTATAATGAACATATTACCAAGAAACAAATAATGATATTTTTCTATCGCACCTTTGACTTCGTTGCGGTAGTCTTTCATGACTTCTTTGAGGTATCCAAGCAGGTCTTTGAGAAGGGGTGAGCGTTCCTTTTCGAACTGAAATAATTCGAAAAGGATTGGTAAAATTCCTTCTTTATACCAGAGGAAATATTGGGAAGGTTGATGGAAAGTGGGGGAAGGTGGACTACAGATGAAAGGAAGGGGCTGAAGGAGTGGGGGTCGAAGAAGAAATGAAAGGAAGAAACGGAATAAGGAGCGAAAGAAGCAAGGAAGTGATGGGGTAGGGTAGGAGGCAGGGAAGAGAGGAATGAAG